CGGCACCAGTCCCTTTCAAGAGGGCGCTGCCCTGTGACCTAATCACCTCCCCAAAGGGCCTACCTCCTATTAACATCACCCGGGGGTGTTAGAATTCCCAACATTTGAATTTTGAAAGAATCCAAACATTCAGACCATCACATCTCCCGATAGAGTGATTATCCTTAAATTAACCAAAACAATTTATTTTGTTTGCAGCTGTAAATGTCTGATGAGCACGCAGGTCCAAGGAGAGAAAAGCAGACGCTCATCTCTGTGGATGCCCAGAAGTCATTTGATAAAATTCAAGATCCAGTTCTCACAACTCTTTCTGAAGTTGGAATAAATGGACACCACTCTAATGCAATAAATAATATATATCGCAAACCAAAAGAGAGCCTCGTGCTTAATGGGGAGGCACTAGCAGCATTGCTGTTAATGTCAAAAACAATGCAGGCCTTCCTAGTCTAATTACTAACAGAATTCTGGAAGGGCAATTAGACAAGAGAAAATCAAGTTGAGGCACAAAACAGTGAAAAGGAAGAGGCAAGGTTATTATCTCATGCACTGATATGAATTCCTGGAAAAACGAGGAAAATTGACTGAAATTATATGAGAAAGAACTAAAGTACATCATGGTGGCTGGTTGCAAAAATAGCTTTATCTGATAAACAAACAACAGAAAATGTAATGGTGTGAAAACACCTCATTCATAATAGCAACAAGTAGAAATAAACTTATCACACAGACTCATGGAAGGAAGCTACAGTACTCTGAAGGACCTGTCAAATTCCAGGATAGGGACAGGTGTTCGACACTGCAGTTGGGATATTGTGGGGACACCTGCAACCCTTGTCACAGTGCCTGGGTTTGAGTCCCAGTTATAGCTTCCTCCTAATGTGCACCTTAGGAAAGCAGCACATTTATGGCTCCAGTACTTGGGATCTCTGCCATCCTAATGGGAGACCCAGATGGAGTTCCTGGCTCCTGGCTTTGGCCTGGTTCAGCACTGGCTGTTGTGGGCATTTGAGGAGTGAATCAGCAGATGGGAGAGCATACACACACACACACACACACACACACACACATACATTTTGTCTCTCTCCCTCTCACTCTCAAATTCATTTAAAAAGTCATTTTAAAAACTCTTTGCATAATTTAAAAAAGAAATATAGGGGCCAGTGCTGTGGCATAGTGGGTAAAGCCTCTGCCTGCAATGCTGGCATCCCATATGGGTGCCAGTTTGAGTCCCAGCTGCTCCACTTCCAATCCAGCTCCCTGCTAATGTGCTTGGGAAAGCAGCAGAAGATGGTCCAAGTCCTTGGGCTCCTACACCCACATCAGAGACCCAGAAAAAGTTCCTGGCTCCTGGCTTCAGATCAGCCCAGCCCTGGCCATTTACAGTGGCCTTTAGGGGAATGAATCAGTGGATGGAAGATTTCTCTCTCTCTGTCTCTCTCTCTCTGTCTCTGCCTCTCTGTAACTCAGCCTTTCAAACAAATAAATCTTTAAAAAATATTATTCTTAGATAAGAAGATGAATATTGTGACACTGTCAATTTTCCCTAATCTATATAGATTCACACTTCTTTCTCAAGGTATTAGATACACTTGAAAGAACAAGTCAACAAATAGCTAATAAAATACTAGGAAGTACTGCCCCATCAAACATTCCAATATACTCAAAACTTATACTATTCCTGGAACATAGAGACATACCAGTGGGATGGAATAGTTTTTTTTTTTTTCTAAAAAAAAAAAAAATCTCTAAATGCCATGGAATTGAGTAGAAGATAAAGTGCTGTTTTCAAGCCGGGGAAAATTCTAGAGTCTTTCAGGGTTGAGACAATCAGTTAGCCACATAGGATAGAAAAGGCAAGGTCCTGTCTTACTTTGTGTTTTGTTGCTCTAACAGAATTGAATTCCTGGGACTGAGCCACTTTTTTTTTTAATTTTTGACAGGCAGAGTGGACAGTGAGAGAGAGAGACAAAGAGAAAGGTCTTCCTTTTTTGCGGTTGGTTCACCCTCCAATGGCCGCCTTGGCCGGCGCATTGCGCTGATCCGATGGCAGGATGGCAGGAGCCAGGTGCTTCTCCTGGTCTCCCATGAGGTGCAGGGCCCAAGCACTTGGGCCATCCTCCACTGCACTCCCGGGCCACAGCAGAGAGCTGGCCTGGAAGAAGGGCAACCGGGACAGAATCCGGCGCCCCGACCGGGACTAGAACCTGGTGTGCCGGCGCCGCAAGGCGGAGGATTAGCCTAGTGAGCCACAGCACCGGCTGGGACTGAGCCACTTTTAAAGAGGTTTGTTTTGGATCATGGTCCCAAAGGCTGGAATGTCCAAATTCTGGCAGCTGCAGCTGGTGCCGGCTTCACACTGCTGCAACTCATGGCACAAGTGGAAGGGAGAAGCAGGAAGTGCAGAACAGAAAGATGAGGAAGCTGAACTTGCTTTAGAACAACCTGCCTTCCAGGGAAGTAACCCAGCACCGTGAGAGAGCGAACTCACAAGAGAAAGGCATTAACCCACCATGCAGGCTCTGCCCCTGTGATCCAAACACCTGCCATTCAACCTCATCTCCTGCCTCATGGAGACCAAGCCACACATGAGTTTTTGCCAAGGCAAATGGTACTAACTACAGTGGATCCCTTCTCCTTTCTCCTACAAAAGTAAATTTCAGAAGGAGACAACACGAAAAGTAAGGCAAACTCCCCACAACAGCACTAAGCGAGCAGACAGTTGCGTACTCTTCGGATCTTGGCATGGGGAAGGCTGTCTTCCTTTACATAAACCGTTATGGGAAGTAATTAAAATTCTCTATATGATAGGAAAACACCACACATGGTTGAAAGGTAAGTCGCCCAATGGAGTGCTATAGGTTAAGTACTTGCATTAGCCGATGTGTATAAAAGGGATAGACGCACAAGGAAAATAGGTGACGTGAGCAGGTGAAAATGTAAATTACTTTATTTCCGATTTGTGTTTTCCTAGCCTGGAAGTAAAGGGCAGGTACAGACAGGAGTGGAAGATGTATTACAGAAGGTTGTTTGGGAGCGAGTCTCACAGAAATGCCACCGGAGTGCTCTAGCTAGGGACTCTTGCAAGCCTTTTTTGGACAGGCTTGGATCGGATGGCTTCGGGGTCCCATGGGGATCAACAACCCTGGCAGAAGGAGCCAGACTTCTGACAAGGGGGTTCTTATATGTCCCACCAAAGAATTCACATGTTGTTTGGCTATACAGATGCCAAATAGTCAATCTGTTATATGATGGGCACCCTACTGGGGATATGATACCGAGTAAGAAGGGTCTGGGCTGGGTTGGACCCTACATGATAGTCAAGGTGACAGACATAGCTGAATTCCAATATGCTGTCAGCCACATGACAGAAAGGTGTCCAGACAGCATGCAGACATCCTAAGGCGACAGACATTGAAGGATGAGGAGGAGAAGTTAGCTAAGGGAAGAAGTTCAAGGAAAGGTGTTCATGGCAAAGGCCTGTCTGGATCAGGCCACCTGGAGCAGCAAACGGGTCTGCAAAGGTTGAGGGCCTTAAGGTACAGTGGGAATGGGGGGCGGGACCACAGAGTACCCTGGTGATACCTGGTGGACACCCTAAGGGCCCCATTACTATGCAGTGGGAGGCCAGAGGCAAAAGTCGTTGACTTGGAAATATGGTTGTAAGGTGGCCTTCGTGTTATGAAAAGTCAAAGGACTTCGTACCTTCATCTCTGCCTTCTGCAGTAGCCAGTGCCCACGTCAGCCCTGCCAGCCAAGAGAGCACACACAAAGATCACACACCAGTGGCTGGGGGCTGAACGCAGCCCACAAACACACTCCTGGCTCCCTACTCCGTACTATTTTTTTCCTTCTTAACATTTAAAAATAAGATTTCACCTTCCTTTTAAAAAATCAGATGATCTGGCAATGCCGAGCCCTCATTCCTGCGTGGGAACAACCGACTGAGCTGAGTGGCACCCGCCCCTTTAGAAGGATGTTACCTCGCAGCTTACCACGGTCCCTATCATTCCTTAAATTCTCCCCACCACCGAGAGCCGAGTTACTAGAAGTGTGAGTAGAACAATATGATGCTTGATTCTTCACACATGGGACCTATCTGGTTCCCGGAATGTCTGTGACCTTTGGCTAAGAGGTCAAGTCTAGGGGCTCTGAATGGAACTTCTGATCAGATAAGAACTTCCCCAATCTCAAAGGCATTAAGGATGAAAGAAGATATTACCATGAGGTGTGGGACATGAAAGCTACTATAAGCAACCACTAGGAATGTAAGCTGCAGGAGCGCAGCCACCAATGCCAGTTTCATTCTTTGATGGATCCCCAGCGTCTACTACAGTGCTTGGCACCCAGCAGGTGCTCAAGTTAACTTTTGATTGAATGAATGAATGAATGAATGGAGAACTCCTTGAGGTTTTCAAGGCTGGCCGTTAAAGAAAGGTAATTCTGATTATCACCGTTTTGCCGAGACCCTAAGGTGCAGTCTGGAAGAAACCGCCACCCCCTCCTGACCTCCCCGCGCCCCCCTCTGTGAAGGGGTTGGGGTGGCGCGCGGGTAGTAAGCGTCTGCAATGTGCCTAGGGAGCCAGGCGGGGGGGCTAACTTGCCCAGCACCGGTCAGGGCCATGTCCACCAGGTCTTTCTCGGTCTGGTAAGGGACGGCATCCTGATTCCCGCACGTCCCCCTAGATGGCGGCCATCTGATCAGCAAATACGGGGACCCACCCTGGGAGCCCAACACCGGCGCAAGCCCACGGCTGCCCTCCTTCAAGCCCGGACCGTGCCCACACTAGACATGGCCTCCCTCTGGCTTCACGCAGCGGGACCGTACCTGGAGCCTCGAGTCATCGCTTCCAGCTGGAGAGCAGCCCTCGTTCCCACAGTCAACATGGCGGCCACGGCGCTTCAGCGCCGGGCGGGCGGCGCCAGGAGGCGGTCACGTGAGCGGCCCAGCTGGGCTGACCGCGCGCGCGCCCGCCCGCCGGCTGCGGCTGGCTCGCTCGCTGGCTGGCGCCGCTGTGCTGTGAGGTGTGTGGGGCGTCGAGCACCCCCCGACCCCACCTCGGCCGGGTGAGGCGCGGCGGGATGCAGCGGCGGCCGTGGCGGGGCCGCGGGCCGGGCGGACGGACGCGGTGATGAGCGTCGGCAGCCGCCGCCATGTCCAAGGTAACGGCGCCCGGGCCCGGGCCGCCGGCCGCGGCGGCGGCGGCGGCGGGCGGGAAGGAGAAGCGCTCCTTCAGCAAGCGGCTGTTCCGGAGCGGCCGCGCGGGCGGCGGCAGCGGCGGCGGTGGCGGCGGCAGCAGCAGCAGCGCGGGGGGCCCCGGGCCGGCCGCGCCCTCCTCGGCGCGCTCGGTGGGCAGCTTCATGAGCCGCGTCCTCAAGACGCTGTCCACGCTCTCGCACCTTAGCTCCGAGGGCGCCGCCCCGGACCGCGGCGGCCTCCGCAGCTGCTTCCCGCCGGGGCCGGCCGCCGCGCCCACGCCGCCGCCGTCGTGCCCGCCGCCGCCCGCCTCGCCCGCGCCGCCCGCCTGCGCCTCGGAGCCGGTGCCCGGCGTGGCGGGGCTCCGCAACCACGGCAACACGTGCTTCATGAACGCCACGCTGCAGTGCCTGAGCAACACCGAGCTCTTCGCCGAGTACCTGGCCCTGGGCCAGTACCGGGCGGGCCGGCCGGAGCCCTCGCCCGACCCCGAGCAGCCGGCGGGCCGCGGCGCGCAGGGCCAGGGCGAGGTCACCGAGCAGCTGGCTCACCTGGTGCGGGCCCTCTGGACCTTGGAGTACACGCCGCAGCACAGCCGCGACTTCAAGGTGAGCGCGCGCGGCGCCGCGTCCCCGGGGGCTGCTCTCGGGGTCCCGGCGGTGGTGGTGGTGGTGGTGGTGGTGGTGGTTGTGGGGGGCGCCGCCGAGCCGACTTCCCTGCTTGCTCCTGGAGATCTGCCCCGAGGTCGAGGCCGGGACCGGTCCCGTGGGTTGTTAGGGGCATGCATGCATGCATTCATTCATTCACCCACCGTGTCTGTATCGAGCACGCCAGGCCCTGTGCTGGGCGTGGAGAAGGGATATTGCCGTGGACATGACCGCCTGCCCGCATGGAACTTGCATTCTTGCGGGTGGGGGTGGGAGTGTGGAGCCTGGTTTCAGAGCCTTGGCGCTGCCCTGGGCAAGTCGCGCAGCCTTTCTTTGCATCGTTGGTGGTCTGCCTCACAAGTCGATGTGGTGCGTTGGACACCATGAAACGACCCATTTCGGACCCAACAGCTGGGGCCCTTTCATGGTGCTGGACCTAATAGGTAAAATGTTGCAGCCGTGTCCAGCGCCGGGTGGGTTTGCTGTTCTGAGTTTTTACGCTTCAACGCCTTGGTAAGTTCAGGAACCAGCAGCAGCTACAGGTTCGAGGAAGGTAACACCTGGTGACGCAATCATTGTGCCAGCGGCTACTCACAGCGGGAGCCGTGGCCCTGGGGGCTCCTTTGCTGTTTGCTGGTGCAGCTGCAGCTGCAGGTGTGATGAGAGACATTGGGAGCCCGTGGTCAGACCGTGCACTAGGGAACTGGGCCCTTACTCCAAGCAGAAGGGAAAGGTGGTTTGAGATAGCAGAAGGGATGCTTTTAGGTGACACATGAATACGGTACGAAACAGAATGAAATCCCAAAAGGAGAAATTAATGCCTCTACCGTTTTCTTTCTGTCCCGATAGTGCCAAGAGAAGGCCTCAGCTTGATGGGAGCCTGTTTTCAACACCCCTTGCTTATTCCCTCTCTCCCTATCCTTTCCTCTCTCCCTTCTTTAATATTAAAAAGACAAAAAGAAGCAAGTTTCAAGTTGAGAGGCTTTGGCAAGCTGCAGAGCTGGAATTTAATAAGGTTCTGTTTTCATTGGGTTTGTTTTTTCATTTGTCTGCTATCTATGGCAAGTGGTACTGGTCTCCCATTGGTGCTATCAGGTTGTTTTTGAAACTACATTTGTTTAAGGCGAAGATTTGATTAAAAGGTAAAATGGTGATGTGCGGCCGCGGAGTCTGCAGTTCGTTGAGGTTCTGCTGCCTCGGTGAGGAACCTCCAAGCCAGCCTGCGTTCCTGCCCCTTTAGATCTTTTTTGTGTTGCTGAACTCTGGTTTTCTCAAAAAGAAAGAGAACGGTTGCTGTTTGATCTTGAAGCTGGAATGGGAATACTTGACTGAGCGGGAGGTTTCCCAGTAGGAAAGTAGGGAAGCATGGCAGCTGATTGTTGTACATCTTTTTAGAAAGTCTTTGCCTGTAGCTGCCTGGAAGTCATTGGTGCCAAGTGCAGGCTTTTCGAGGTTAGAGCGGAGTGTTTCAGTTTGGTTTTCTGTTCTTTTCCAACACGCAGAAGTGCATTTCCACAGCATCTTCCTATATGAACATTTCCATTGCTTTTGTGAAGTTATTCTCATTTCTTTATCCACTAAGCTGTGAACCGGAATGGGCTCATAATTCTAGATGAGCCAAGGCCTGATGGATAGGCATCCTTTGGCCAAGTTGGACAGATTCTTAGAGGTCATCGCCACTGCTTTGTATGAGGTTGTGCTCACTTTTTCGTCCATTAAGTCATGAACAGAAGTGGGTCAATAATTCCAGAAGTGCGGAGACTGATTTATAGGCATCGTTTGGCAAAGTCGAGCAGATTCTTAGAGGCTCCTGTTTTTAAAAAAATGGGATCTTCTGAACCTGATTTCACTGTGCATTCATTCATTCACCTCCCCTTTGTTTACTCAATCAGCTAGGAATGCATTTGGTGCAAGCAAGAAAAATCCCTAAAGATGGGGATTGCCCTAGGCAGTAAGAATGTTGAATTAGCTCTGAGGGTAGGCTCTAAGGTGGGTGCTGTGGCTTGATGGCCCCACCAGGACCCAGACCCTTTGTGTTCCCAGCCTGCTGCCCTAAGCTGTAATTGGTGTTTTGTTTTCATGTTTGTCACCTCCTGGTTGTCTGATGATGGCAGCTGTGGCACCCGGACACTCAGCCCAGGAAGGCAGGAAGTCATTAGGAAAATGAGTTCTTCCAGAAGCGCCCTCAGCAGGCTTCTGCTGCCACCTCGTTGACATGACAGCCATGTCAGTTGGCTGCCGTGGCGGAGGCTGGTGCTTGGGATTTCCTGCTCTGATAGAGGAGATGGGCAGAGGAAGGGCTGCTCTCAGGCAGCCCACCAGAGTGCCCACTCACCACGGGCCAGGCGCTTTCATTCGGGGCAGGCGCCATGTGCCTACTAGGAACTGCCCCTAGTGGGCCCAGGCAGGCTCCCTCAGACAGCACTTCCCCCACATCTACCTGCATGTAACTCCCGCGGGATCTTGTTACAAAGCACATTGGGATTTGGTAGAGGAGGAGGGGGCCTGGGTTCTTCACTGCTAAGAAGCTCCCAGGAGGCTGCTGGCCCATGGACCCTGTTTGAACCGCAGGCTCCCAGGAGCATATAGAGCATTGCAGAGAAGGTGGACTAGGAAGGGGTGGGTGGGAACGCAGGCATCCGTGGCTGAGTGCACCCTGAGAGCTGTGGGGACGAGTGTCGTGAGTGGACTCTGCAGCGCTTTCTGGGCTGAGCTGGTTTGGACTTGAATCCCCTGGAAGTTGAGAATCCAGAGCTGATGTTTAAGTAGGGCAGTGCCATCAGATTTTTTTTTTTCTTTCCTTCTTTCAATTAGATAAGCTTAGTGGCTCTATGAAGGCATGACTGTTTATTTTTGTAAAATGTCTTATTACAGGCAGCCGTGCTGGGTATTACTTTGAGCATGCGGAAAGCTGAGCACTAAGATGCTGGATGTGATGCATACCTGGCCCCCGGTGCCCCACGCCTGTTTGTGGCAGGCCTCGCTGTTTGATTCCATTACTCCTCACGTTCAGAGAGCTCACATTCAGCACAGAGTCCTACTCACTCGTGGGCTCCAGGCAGCCGTTACCTGCTGGTTGGAGTTGGCAGAGCAGACAAGACCAGTTTGCCATCGTGGAGGTCCAGGAAAGCACTTACCGTGTCTTTGAGTGTGCTTTTATGGGCTTAAACTTTGTTCCTCATGCTTCTCTGTCCAGGTGTTTCAGTTAGAATTCTCGCTTTCCAGCCTCATCGGTGTGAACTCGTGGAGGTCACCAGGTAAACAGGATCTTGGCGTGGGGTGGGCCAGGTGGTGGAGGTCACCAGGTAAACAGGATCTTGGCGTGGGGTGGGCCAGGTGGTGGCCGACGTTGGGTTTTCAGTTCCCAAAATGCACTGAGTTGACTGGCCCGACCTTGATGTGCTTGAAGAAACTTGCGCAGCGGCCACCTGGGCCCTTTCTCTCTTCTCACAGGTATTTTCCTTCTGCTCTTATGGCTGCTCTTGCTTCCCTCCCAACCCGGGACTGGACGCTTGTGGCCATAGTGGGGGTGAGCGTGCTGCTGGCATCTGCTGGACAGATTCCTGGGATGTCGCTCAGTGTCCTGCTGCGTGCAGGACAGCCCCTCAGGGAGGGGTTATGCGGCTTGAGAAAGGCTGAGAGCAGTGTTTCCAGCCTCAGCGTGAATTTCCCAGTCTGTAGAACAATTACCTGGTTACTTCTCTCTCTGTGTTTGCAGCTGCACAAGGTTAAAACTTGGACTTCAGTGGTAGGATCCTTACGTCACTTTCTTAGTAAAACAGTGAGAGTGAATAAATCATTTTGAAACCTGAATACTCCGTGTGCTTACTTAAGGGGAAGTCAGCTTATTGCCTTAACTTTATTTAATAGGAGCGTGGGTGCGCCAGGTTCTTACACATGCTTTCTGATTTCTAGTACTCTGTTACAGCAAGGACAAAGATGAGTGGTGCTCTTTTGAGTAAGAAAGATAAGTTTTACAGCAGCAGTTTTCAAACTGTCCTCCCCAGAACAGAGTGATCTACTGATGAAAGAACTTCCATGACTCCTTCCAAATCTGCAGTAAACCAGGAAGTAATTGATGAAGAGAAGTTGCCCTACCGTATTTCTTCCCCTGAAGCTTTGGTGCCTGGTGCTGCTTATTTATTGGCGGGGGTTCTCAGGTTACAGAGGGAGTGCCTGTGTGTGGAGGAATGGGGGCAGGCCCCCAGCAGCCGGGGATTGCTCCTGCCGAGTTTCACCCCCTGCTTTCTCGTGGAGCTTGGACGGGAAGCTGTAGACTTGATGCTCCTGAGTATGTGTGTATGTTTCACATGGTTTCCCACAGAGCACTCTGACTTTGGGGCCATCCCTTGAGTTTATTTGAAATAAGAGGGAAAAAAAGGACATTGTAGAGGCATAAAATGTATAGACATAAAATAGAAAGTCCTTCTCTTCCTGTGAGTTGCCTTGTGCCAAATGCTGTCCCTTGAGTTCTAGTAGTGCCCCAGGTGTCTGCAGGGGAAGGAAGACAATAGGATCATGTGGTCCTGGGCTGGCAGGAGACCTGGATGTGATGTGAGGAGGCCCCGGCTTTCCTGGCTGGGGGAACGGAGGCCCGCCTGCTGGCTGGAGGCTGCGGGAGCAGAATCCGCTGCATCCTGGCTTCCCCTCGCCATCTGCTCTGTGTGCGCCGGTGCCTGTCAGTGTAAGCACCGGCAACGTAGAAGTTAAGCAGGCAGCATGGACGTGCTGAAACGTGTAGCATTGTTTCCCTCTGAGATTGTGGCTCTGCATCATAGTGAAATAGGCTGTCTGCACATAGCTCTGTGTGTCTGCCATGGCTCCTTAGGCTTAAGTACTTCGGGACGTCTTCCTTAAAGCACGTCCTTTCAGTCTGCTTGAATGCATGTATAAAATGTGTGGATCTCTCTCCGGTCAATTTTGAACGGTTGTATGTAGCACATTATCAAGTTTGGTTAATG